GGCCACTCGTACTTCTCCAGCAGCACTTCATACAAGGCCCACGGCTTCAGGTTCGAGATGTGCCTGAGCTCACCTGCAGGGGGCGCCACACAACAACACGGCTTCACTCTCAGATTCAGTCCGCACTGTTTTTTTGCCAATGCAGTGTGCAGTGTGAGGGTGTGGCGTGTGGGTATCTGCAGTACGAGGGCTTGTGGGTGGGGGCAGTGTGAAGTTGTGGCGTGAGAGTGAGAGCAGTGTGAGGTTGTGGCGTGTGGGTGGGGGCAGTGTGAGGGTGTGGCGTGTAGGTGGGGGCAGTGTGATGTTGTGGTGTGAGAGTGAGAGCAGTACGAGAGCGTGGCGTGTGGGTATCTCCAGTGTGAGGGTGTGGCGTGTGGGTGGGTGCAGTGTGAGGGTATCTGCAGTACGAGGGTGTGGCGTGTGGGTATCTGCAGTACGAGGGTGTGGCGTGTGGGTGGGGGTAGTGTGAGGGTGTGGCGTGTGGGTATCTGCAGTACGAGGGTGTGGCGTGTGGGTGAGAGCAGTGTGAGGGTGTGGCGTGTGGGTGGGGGCGGTGTGAGGGTGTGGCGTGTGGGTGGGGGCAGTACGAGGGCGTGGCGTGTGGGTATCTGCAGTACGAGGGCGTGGCGTGTGGGTGCTCAGTGTGTTACCTCTGCGGTTGAAGTATTCCCTGGAGTACCGTCCCGACAGGGCGAAGTGGGGGGGGATGGGCCCCAGCAGCTCGATGATGTGGGCGATGTGATCTGGGCGAGACACACACACACAGATATTACAACACGTTACACAACACTGACAACCACAACAGCAAGGCAAGGCGGGAACACGGCCAGGGAAGGAGAAAAGACACAGAGACCCAGAGCCTCGTGGCAGCCTGACCTTCATCGCGGGTGTAGTCCTCTCCGGAGTGCGGCTCGAACAGGTAGTCGCCTGTGGCCAGCTCAAACGCCTGCGACACAACCCACAAGAGTCAACACTCCCAGAGACCGCACGCTGGAGCAATACACATTGGTCAACAAACAGTTCATCAGTGAACTCAAACCAGACACTTCTTACACTCATTTTCTTTCATCACTGAATAGTCTTTATACTTCTATAGCGCTTTTCTGGACACTCCACCCAAAGCGCTTTACTGGATCCCCTCCACCCCCACCAGTGTGCAGCCCCACCTGGGTGATGCACCAGTACTCCCCCCACACACCAGCTCTCAGTGGGGAGGAGAGCAGAGGGATGAAGCCCGTTCAGAGAGGGGCGTTATCAGGAGGCCATGATGTGTAAAGGACAGGGGGAAATTTCACCAGGACTCCAGGGTAACACCCCTACTCTTTTCGAGAAACGCGCCGGGATTTTTAGTTACCACAAAGAGTCAGGACTATAGTTTTATGTCTCAGCTGAAGGATGGTGCATTTTTACAGTATACCTTTTCCGTCACTATACTGGGGCATTAAGACCCACACAGGCGGTAGGGTGAGCGCCCCCTGCTGGTTCAGCCACTTTAGCCTTCCCAGGAGTCTCCCATCCAGGTACTGGCCAGGCCCACACCTACTGAGCTCCAGTGGGTTGCCAGCTGTGAGGTGCAGGGTGATATGGCTGCTGTCAAAACTGCGATATAGCTGAATTCTGTAGTTCTGTAAATCTGTAGCCTGGGTTTATGCAGTATGGTTTCCCTTCTTCCTTTATCCTCTTCTACACATTCCTTTTGTTTTATATTCTTCTCCTCCATCATTTCAATCTTCTCTCTGCTCTCTCCACTGACCCCCTGTCCCCTGTCCCCTCTCCCCTCTCTCTCTCCACTGACCCCCTGTCCCCTCTCTCTGCTCTCTCTCCACTGACCCCCTGTCCCCTCTCTCTGCTCATCTCACCATGCAGGCGGTGCTCCACATGTCCGCTGGAGTGCCGTACCCTGCGCCGATCAGCACCTCCAGAGAGCGGTACTGCCGGGTCTGGATGTCTTCTGTGAAGTGCTTGTGCTGGGACAGAGCGTGAGACACAAAAAGAGCGAGTTCAGGGTACAGGTGAGCAGGTGAGGAGGAAGAGTCAGGGTACAGGGCGACGAAGAAGCCTGTGTGTCTCTTACCACCCAGCAGGCGTTGCCCAGGTCTGCGATCTTGATTTGGATTTTATCTGCGTTCTGGGGCTCCAGGGGGTTCACCAGGAAATCAGCAGCACTGAACACTGACAGAGCGGGGGAGAGAGACGGGGTCACCAGAGAAATCCACTCATAATACTAGCAAGTACAGCATTGTAAAAAAAAAATAAACCACCATTTATCAAAGTCTGGAACATTCGTATTGAATTCCTGAGGATGCAAAGGCAAACACTGGACCTGCCAGATCAGCTGACGTGGCCACAGTCAGACCGAGCGACTCACTGTGTGGGGACAGCAGGTGGCTGCGGCAGTCTCTCTCCGTGGAGTATCCGGACAGCGCCGAGTCCGAGGTCGGGGAGAAGACGGAGCCCGACAGAGCCGAGTCCGGGCTGGTGAACCGGGCCCCGCCCATCCTCAGGGTGTGGCCATTGCAGCCCTCCAACCAGGAGGAGGAGGAGGCGGGGCTGGAGGGGCTGCAGGCCACACCCATGTCCACCCTCCCATTGGTATGGCAACCACCATTGACCAGGCAGGTGGTCCCACTGCTGCTGTTCTGCACCACTGCGGAGAGGGAAGGGGAAAGAGGGATGGAGCAAGAGAGCATGACGGAGAGGTGAGAGACATACAGGGAGAGAAGAGGCAAGGGAGACAGAGTCATTTACAAATTCAGTAAGTGGACAGTGTCCAGTAACACATTAGCACTGCCCTGAAGCTGAATGGGACAGAAAATATATAAGAATGCTTCTCAACAGTCTCCACAATTCAACTAAGGTGCAAACAAATCATGTTTCAAATCACTCAATCAAAGGAAATCCTTTTTTTATCTAAATAATTCAAGATCCTAACTGTACAAGTACATAAGGCAAAGTTTACATGGAGAGCAATGCAGTTGTGGGGGTGAAAAATTTTGAAGACTTATTTTGTACATATTCGTTACTTGCCATGAACTAGAACAGAAACTGTAGAAACTGAATGACAAGAAACAAGTGCACAGAGCTACTTGAAATCAAAATGTTAATATGCATACTTATATTTATCTGCACACATGAAGAATTTTATTACAGTTATGATCTTTTTGACTATTTTTAATAAATGTTTAATGAATGAAACATGCAATGTAAAAGAAATTCTATTAATTCTAGACAAGGAGGGTCAAGGGGAGGTCATAAGACAACAGGAAGAACAGCTCTGAGTAGCTGAAAAACAACTCCTTATTTGGAGGACGCTAGCAACTGCAAAACTAGCCTAAACTGGTTAGGGTTAGATTCCATTTAGAACTGGAAGTAAGATTCTGGCACTTTAAGAGAATAAAAGCAGACGAGGTAGAGAAGAGAGTTGAGTTGCAGGGTTCTGGAGCAAACTGTAACTTATGTGCGTGTAATATAGAAGACCTTTGGTGCTGCAAAGGTTACAGTATTTACATCCCATAGAGGGAAGAAAGAAAACTTTACCAGCACAGTTTACAGCTCCACACTCAGTGACCACACTGACGGTGCTGTGCAGCACATGGACTGTTTGCAGCAGGGAGAGCAGTAGGCCCTTGCGTTCTCCAAATACACTGCTCAGTGTCTCAGGCTGCTACTGCTGCACACAGACACACAGACACACAGACACACAGACACACAGACACACAGACACACA